GGCCTTCCTCCAGATATGAAAGAGGAATGTAAATCCCTGAAACGTGGTGAAACCACATTCAGGAGGAAGAGGAATATTCTTCTTCAGTCCTGGAGGGATACTCGTGTTGTGAATATGATTTCCACAATTCACAATTCGAGCATGGTTGATGTTCAAAGGAGACATGGACAGGTAAAGAAGCCTGCTGTATTTCCGAGTATAATATGTTCATGAAGGGAGTTGATAGAGCCGATCAGTACTTGGCCTATTATTCTCTTCCTTGGAAAACAGTAAAGTGGACAAAGAAAGTTGCCTTGTGGTTTTTAAATTGTGCCATTTTCAATACATTTTTGGTTTTCAAAAATCTAAACCCTCATTCAAAATTGAAATACAAGGCATTTCTGCTGAATGTGGCAAAAGCCTGGGCTACAGACCACATTGTGGCGGCAGAACCGGCAGAAGACACAGTCTTAGTACGACCAGGGCCATGTACTCCCACCCCATGCAGGCCTCATTTTGACCGACCTGGGCGACTCTGGGGTGATATGTGGAAACATACCCTTGCGAAAATTGTGAAGAGTGAACATTTCAAGGGGAAGCAGCCTTCTAGGCAATGCCGTGTTTGTGCAATTCACAAGAAAAGGAGTAGGACTGCCTACATTTGCAAGTTTTGTGTAATGCCACTTCACAGAGGGGAATGTTTCGAGAAATATCACACCCTCAAGCACTTCTAGAAGCATTGGTGTTCTCAAAAAATTTTAGTTCATAAAATTAATTAGATTTTATATTAATTTTTAAAGTGAACAGTGTACAATTTAGGGTAGTAGGTATAAAAATGCCGGTCCGCTGGGTGATTTAAATATTTAAATTGCCGGTCCACAAAGTGATAATGTCAGAGAGCAAGTTTCACATCCATACAGAACGACATGCAAAATTTTAGTTTTGTAAATTCTAATATTTTGTTTTTAGACAGCAGAAGATAAGACAAAAAGGTTCTGAACTAAATGGTAGCAAGCATTACCTGAATTCAGTCATTCCCAAGTATCTGAACTGAGCCACATTTTTTAAAAAAACATCTGTTAGCTATCTTCATGTCATGATTTGGCCCCACATTTTGGTGATGAGATAGCAACATATATGTAGTTTTCTCTGTTTACTTCTATACCAAGCTCCTTGATAGTGTCAATTAAAGTTTGTGTTTTTTTTCTTTAAGGTATCTAAGTGGTGCTATCCAAAAGTTCCAGAAATATGTTAATAAAAACTATTATGTCGTATCTGGATCTTATTCTGCACCATCACATTCAAAGTAGTCCCCTTGGGAGCGCATACACCAATCCCAGCGTTTCTGCCACTTTTGAAATGCATCCTGGAAGTCTTTCTTTGTTAGGGGGTTTATTACTCTCTGCGTTTCCGCTTGAATTTCCTCAACTGTACAACTGTATAAAATCTTCACCCCTTCAACTTGATTTTCATCTTAGGGAAGAGAAAGAAATTGCATGGAGCTAAGTCTGGCAAGTATGGTGGGTGGGGAACAACTGCCATCTTGTTTTTAGCCAAAAATTCCTGCACAATGTATGCCGTATGCAGTCGTGCGTTGTCATGGTGGGGTACCCTGTCATTCGTGTGCCACTTCTCTGGACGTTTTCTCCTCATGTTCTCCCTCAAACGCCTTAGAACATCGTGATAGAACTCTTTATTGACTGTCTGACCAGGAGGGACAAACTCCAGATGAACAATCCCATCAATATAAAAAAAACAGATCAAAATGGACTTAATGTTGCTCTTGACTTATTGAGCATCTTTTGGTCGAGGTGAAGAAGGGTTCTTCCATTGTCATGATTGCTGCTTACTTTCAGGGTTGTAGCCATAAACCCAACTTTCATCACCAGTGACAACCTTTGAAAGAAAGTTTGGATCCTCTTGAAGCTGTTGTTGAAGTTCCCTGCAGACTTCCAAGCGATGCTGCTTCTGTTCATTTTGCAGCAGTCCTGGCACAAACTTTGCAGCAATCCTCCTCATGTTCAGTTCCTCTGACAAAATTCGTTGACATGTACCATAACTTAGTCCCAAGGTGTTACAGAGGTCTTGGAGGGTCAGTCTATGATCTTGCAGAATAAGATCCCTAACTTTCATTACATTTTCTGGTGTGGTGCCAGTTGACAGCCACCCTGAACGATCATAATCATCAGTCGATGTTCGGCCATTTTGAAACACTTATACAAGTCGTAAGTTTGTGTCTGGCGCAAACTGTTGTCACCAAAAGCTTGCTTCAACATTTGGCACGTTTCTGCAGCAGTTTTCCCAAGTTTAAGCAAAACTTTATACAGACACGCTGCTCTCTCAGGTCAGCCATCGCAAAACCGCAAACTCATGAAAACACAACAATGGAAATATGTTCACCAACAATAGACCCCAACCACTCAACTTGACGCCACTTGCCACACTGATTCAAGAAGGGTGTGTGGGGAGACACCTAGCGGGTATTTCGATGTACTCATAACCATTCGCGCAAAATTCAAATTTCTGGAACTTTTTGATAGAACCACGTATATTATAACCCAGCAGATTCACATCAGCAACATAAATCAGCAGTTGATGTGTCCCATTTAATTTCAGTTCAACCTGGCTGTCCTGGACTTTCCTAATTGCATATTCTAAAGCAAGGTTGAAAAGTAGTGGATATAAAGGATCTCCTTGCCTTAGAATACTTTGGATAGGAAAATTATCAGAGAAATGTTTATCTATATGGACTTTACTGTACCTTTCATTTAAACACATTTTAAACAGCCTAACTAGCTGACCAGTACTTAAGTTATTATTTTGTTTTTAGAATAACAATGAAGTTGTAAGAAAATATACAGTATCTTCAGAATTGTGTTCTCTTCAATGTATTTTTTGTTTACAAAAACTTTAAACCAAAATTAGAATGCAAAATACAAAAAGTTTTAGCTTTAGGATGGGATGGCATGAATCACTGAGAAGCATATCAAAACTGAGAACTGACTCCAGTTCAGAGTATGATCAACCTCGAGTGAAGGAACTAATGCCATAGGGACTCAAACACAACCCTCCAGGCAGACTATCAGTGATCTTCAAAGACTATACGTGGTCTGTCCAAAAAGAAACCGAACTTGTTAAACAGGGCGCCAACGAGCCAACACAGGTGACTTGCAACAGTTGCACTGTGTAGCGGTGACCTTAAGCTTTAACCTGACACCTGCCCAAAAAACTGGAGATGAATCGTATTGCTGAAAAATTTGTACCATGTCTTTTAACAGATGAGCAAAAAGCAAATCGTGTCACAGTCAATCAAGAGCTGTTTGATCATTCAAATGCTGACAAAATCTTTCTGAAAAAAAGCACATCAGAGTCAATCAAATGTGAAGGGGATGACTGTCATCCCCCAACTGCCCTACTCTCCAGATCTGACCCCTGCAGAGTTTTTTTTTTTTGTTCCCAAAGTTGAAATCCACTATGAAAGGTTGCCGATTTCAGACGACAGAAGAGCTAGAAGAAAGTTCGCCATTCGACCCATGCGCTATCATGCAAAATGTGTTCCAGGACGCGTTCCAGAACTGGAATAAATGTTGGAAGCGGTGTATAGACAGTGGAGGAGAGTACTTTTAAGGAGACAAGTCTTATTAAGTTGTAAGCTTATCAATAAATGTTTTAAAAAGAAAGTTCGGTTTCTTTTTGGACAGACTATGTAAAGCCACCCACTGCCATTTACTGAAAGCAATGGCTGACCCCTCCCTTCTTCAGAATTACTGGGTTTTTGGACTTTGTCCATCATCTAATATTTTAAAATACTAGAAAGCACAGCGTTTTGGAAACAGGATCTGTTTCCGTCCTCAGGTGGGGGGAGACACCTACTATGTTATGTCCCTTAGAAACAGCTAACCTCAATCATTGGACAATCCTTGTCAGTATAACTACCTGACATCAGGCTTAGTCAAAGGGAAATAACAGGAAAAATATACAATAAAAATAGTCATGAAGCATGCACATACCTAATATTAAGGTTAGAAAGGAAGGTGAAAATTTTATGAAATAAACCTAGCCAACAAACCAAGTCCACAAAAAACAATGCACACGACTAACTGAAAAATCTGTGAAACCACTCTGTGCCTACCGCTAGCCTGTCTAATTCTTCTCCTTCATAGATTATTCACACCTATCAGGAGACCGCTCAGTCTTGGCCTTATTCTTCTTGATGGTCAGATCACTGATTTCTATCAAGAGACCTATTCCAGCCTTCTCTCATTGGACACCTCACCACAGCCCCTGCGAAACTTGGTCATTCCCATAGCAGACCACAATAACTGGGTCCTTAACGCATGGGAAATTTTTTCCTTCTGCCTATGACAGGAAAACTCCAGCCCAACTTTGCAGTTTGCCGGGCGGGTCAGTGCTGAGTGCACCCACAACCAAGCTCCAGCTGAGCCCCTCAGGTCCTTAAAAGTAGCCTTTCTCTTATGGCTGTCAGTCTCTACTTCGCAATGATTAGGCTGCTTACCCCTTCTGGGAGAAAGCCTTATCTTATGTGGACCCTCCTGAGTGCCTGCACAGATTCTGGCTACTGCAGAGTCCCACATGTGGGGGGAAGGCTAGCTCAAAGTGGGATTGGATGTTGCCTTATATCCCACGGTCACAGTTCATTACACTGCTCTCTGTGCTATGCAGGCCATGCCTTATCTTAGGGCACCACCATCCACACAGCCAGCCAGGCCAGCCTGAAGCTTTCAACAACCACCATAAAGGGTCAGATGGGGATGAGCCTTTGTCCCCCAGGGATACGACATAGAAATTGTGACACACTTGGAAGTATACGGGTCCTGTCTGTTTGGTGGGAGTGGAGAGATGTTGGCTGAGATCTTCCAAATATGAAGAAGTGTTCTGGAAGTTCATGCAAGTGCTACTTCCCTGCTATCATTTTAGGACAAAGTATATCTTTATACTTGAGCATGAAGTATATGTTTTCATTTCTCTTGGTATCACACACCGAGTTTAACATCACGCACCCTGAAATCGAAGTCAACCAACTCCACACCACGGCAGTCAAACAGCACTATGGTCTTGAAATTCTCATGGTCACTTTTGGTGTATACTTGTATTGAGTCCTCCAGAATACCTGTAAAGGACACATTCAGTCACAGCCTACATTAAACATTCAGAATCTACCTAGAATTGATACTGTTCTAATAAACTAAATACACAAAGCTCATCAACTTGACTTGGCAGTCTTACATTCAGTTATGTTTATTTTAACAATATACAGGAACACAAAATAAAAAACATTCTAGACTGGAATGTATGTACATAAGTTTATATAAATACTGAGAGACAGACAGTCACACATAGTAACCATGAAAAGAGCATATACACTATATGCACTTTCTTATTTAACTAGCTGCGACAGAATACCAAGTGTGACTCAAAAGGCAAGATGCCATCCATCCTCAACATCATGACAGACTTCTTCATCAATTTAAAATAGTCTAGCCTTTATATTTTAAATTGTCAGTCACATAACATTAATGTGTTCAAATCCTCACCTTGCAAGACCTCTTTAATCAAATTAATATCTCAAAACTAGAAACTGACCATGCTGTCTGCCATATATACTGTATACAGTATTTTGTTACTGAAAACATTCAAACATGGAGTTAAACTCAAGATAATTAATTACAAAGTCCCCAAAACCTTGGCTAATTCTACACCCATAACATTTTTGAAAGACTAAACTGACTGCATACAATTTTGCCTTTTGAATCAAACCACAGAGCAAATAGGTAACAACACAACATAAAGTGGTCTACTGTTGTTGACAGGAAGATGTTTACACTGTAGCAGGTTAAATGAATAGGTCATCATAAAAGATTTCAGTATAAAGAACCAATGTTTCAAAGAAACATGTCACCTCCTTCTTCAGGGTCCAAGAATAAGAAAATCAAAAAACCATCCTGAAGCAGGCAGCAAGACTTCAACCCCGAAGGTGGAAGTGATATGTTTTCCTGAAATGTCAGTTGACTTTAAATGGACTACACAAGACACAATTCTTCAGAACCATTGCAATTTGTAGATCAGGATGAGCTCTGTATTTTATCAAATGCAGTAATTTCTCTGGGCAAGCTGATGGTTTTCATTGAACTTCGTGTAAATCGGAGGTATACGGTAAATACGAATCAATATGAAGTCTTGACAAATTTTGGTGCACCACATAATGCAGTGCATACAGTTTACTCTCGCAATATATGGACCTTGCTGCTCAAAGTTGGTAAGGAGCACATATAAGAGGAAAATCTTATTCATAATACATTAAATAATATCTTCTGCAGTTCATTTTTTAAAACTATTCCCAGTGACCTAAAATAAGTCACACAAGTTAAATTTACTTACACAGAATTGTATTCCAGGGGTACGGAGCAGAAATTATAGTTGGTAAATACGAACAAATTATGACTCTTTTGGATGTATGGTGATTCAGTTCTGTAGGAGGAACTATTGCTTTGTTTTTGTTACTATGCAGTTAAGACTTACTTAAATTGTTTTCTCGAACACAGAGTTTGCATTTGGCAGAATAGTGCATGTTGGCATGTCCTGTTCGGTCCTCCACTGTCTCTGATAAGCTTACATCATGCCATTTATTTGTTGACTCCCCACATGCTGTACATTTCATCTTGGCAAAAAAATACAATTATCAAGCAAACAAGTTTGTTTCTAAATATATATATATATATATTACATCAATCTTAAATACAAATACAATTTGCTAAAATATGAGTGTTTAACAGTGCACATTTACTTGTTCATGGTTTGTCAGCGGAGACAAATTTCTTGTAGGGAACAAAAGTGATGTAGGCACACTTTATTCTTTCATAAAACTAATTACCATTCATATAAAAGTATTCTGGACTTCTGGATATTTAAGGCATATCAGTCACTTCACTTCCAAAAATTGTACTATTAATCCTTAATAAACTTTAAAGATCCATCCATTAAATACTCTTATAATTTTACGTTCATCTTCTCAAATAAAGATCCCTCCTTATAATGGAATAAGCAAACAAACATAACACCAATCATACATATTCATTTAGACTACCCAGAGACACAATCCACTGTGTTCAAGACATGCCTCAATCTTCCTTTATGAGATGTGGGGAAAAAAAAAATACTGACAGCCTTGACCATGCTTGGGTTAATAAATAAAATGTGACATTAAGGTAAAATGTTTTTTTCTTATAGTATCAGAAGTGATATCCAAACACCATGTGAACTGTGCAATAAAGGCTCTACATGTGAAACAAAAACACCAAACATCCTGGTGTAGTAGTCAGCAGCCCTTGGTTTTTCTTGGGCAAGGGTCTGGCTGCCATGTTAGGTGGGTCCCTTGTCACCATAGCATGGCGCATCTTCAGGTTGTGGATGGAGGAGACGCCCTCCAGGTATGGAGGGAAGCTACGAATATACTGAATAAGCAGTCTAGGACAGCCGACAAGGGGTGGTCCTCCAGCTTGGGGGGTTGGGCATGGGGCTAACAACTCCTCATTGTATAAAATTACTGTTATAAAAATGAACACAAAGCCTCAGACCTGGATGGATCCTCTGGATAAATGACCTAAGTTAAAGAAAGTGGACATGAGAATCGGTACATGGAATGTTAGGAGTATGAATAGGGCAGGTTTGCTCAGGGCAGTGGCAGAAGAAATCTTGAAATATAAGTTAGTCTTAGTGGGATTACAGGAGGTCAGATGGGATGGAGGTGGCATCACACCAGCAGGCGAATACATTTTTCTATGGAAAGGGTAATGAAAATCATGAATTGGGTACAGGTTTTTTCGTACATAAGAGAATCGTATCAGCAGTTTAAGAGGGTAGAGTTTGTTAGTGATAAGATATTACATATAATACTAAAAGGTTGCTGGTGTGATATCATCGTTAAGAATGTTCACGCCCCAACAGAAGACAAAATTGATGACATAAAGGACAGGTTATACGTATGAAGAACTAGAACATGTATTGGATAAATTCCCAAAGTACCCTATGAAAATTCTGTTATGAGATTTCAATGCCAAACTAGGGAGGGAAGACATATTCAAAGCTACAACTGGGAATGAGAGTTTGCATGAAATCAGTAATGATAATGTACTTAGAGTAGTAAATTTTGCCACATCAAAAAATCTTACTGTCAGAAGTACAATGTTCCTGCATTGTAACATCCATAAATATACTTGGACATCTCCTGATGGGACGGCACACAAGCAAATTGACCATATTATGATAGATAGGAGACGGCTCTCAATTATACTTGATGTCCGATCATTCAGGGCAGCAGATTGTGATACTGACCACTACCTGGTGGTGGCAAAGGTTACGGAAAGACTGGCAGGGAGCAAACAAACAATGCACAGAGTTCATGTGGAGAGGTTCAATTTCAAGAAATTAAATGAGATAGTGGGTAAAGAGCAGTATTATGTTGAGATCTCAAATAGATTCGCGGCCTTGGAAAACTTGGACAGTGAGATGGATGTTAATAAAGCTTGGGAAAGTATCATAGAGAATATCAACATTTCTGTCAGGGAGAGTCTAGGTTATTATGAGCTGAAGAAGCATAAGACATGGTTCAATGAAGGATGCTCAGAATTACTAGACCAAAGAAAACAAGCCAAACTGCAATGGTTACAGAATCCAAGCGAAATAAATATGGATAATCTGAAAAATATAAGATAGACATCCGATGGGGCACAGCTCTATGCAGTGTGAATGAAGAACTCTGCAGTTTGCATGCAAGAATGAATTGATGTTTTCTTGCAACATAGGCAGTGGTGACCAGTTGGTTACATCATGACAATTTGATATAAGAAAGAACACCAAAAATTTCCTCCATTCTTTGTTTATTTAGTGATGTTCTATCAAGTGCAGTGGTTATATAATAAATATGAAATTACATTATTATGGATGACGGAGTTATTAAGGATCTGAAAGGGGGTGACTGAACATAACATCCTACGATCTGTCTGAAGGGTGAAGGGAAACTAGGAAACTCTGTCAGGTCAACCAATTTGCTAGCTCAGATTTGAACTGAGAGACTTTCATAATATGAAGCAGGTTGCCAACTACTACATGATAATGTTTAATAAAAACTTCCCGTTTTATGAATTTCATATCCGTAAAATCAACAAATGGAGATATAAACCTCAAATTGTACACATTATTGTCACTACAAGCTCAAAATCAAAAGTAATATAATACTGTAGCCTTCTGGGTTATGGCAAGATTAGTCTGGTAGGTGGGTACCAGCACTAGGCTCCTCTAAAACATTAGTACCCAACTACAAGGTAATATGATACACTGCATAGGACTCGGGCTGCAGCCCCTGAACTGCCCATGCTGTCTGGGCTCTTGACAAGACTGCAACATACAGCAGACACTTGCAGTTTTTCTCCATTCTGGGTCCTCCTCTCTGAGAAGAGGGATCAGACATCTTGAGATATGCGAAGCGTGCTGCAAATTCGACAAAGGCAGGCCCTTGCTCCCTCATGATAAGCCATTATACAACTTTCACATAACAAGTGAGAAGCCGACAATAAGGAATTTCACTGCCATAAAAGTATTATATAAGATTAATGCAAACTGGATGAGTTCATACTGACAACTGTATTAATCTGTCACAAAATGGTCATTTGTATGGAATTTAATATGTTGGCAATGCATAAGTAGAACTACTTACTTTCAGACACCAGCAGAAGTGGGGCTGATTTGTATATAACTTATCGATATACTCCAAAGTTGCTCGGATCTGCAATCCAATTTTCTTTGGGAGGGTAAAAAATTACATTCCAGTTAGCCAGTTTCATCAACACAAATTCTTTCCTGGATAAGTTAATAAAATGTTCACTCTTCCTATATGCAAAACACATTGTACAGTATAAACATCTCAGAGCTTCCTGAAACTGTTGAGCCACTCAAGCAGAAGTGTCTGATGTTTCACCCATCAACTTTTGACTACTAGTGAAAGTGACTAAGTCTTTATCCTAATAAATCACAAGTATAACTTCCCCAGATTATAGCAGATGCTTGTGAGCTGTGCAGCTTCACTGGGCTTGTTCATACGATGTCATATTTTATTCCAACATTCTGTGACAACATATAATCCTTAACATGCCAGTCTCATGTGTTTCCTTTCTACCAATCTGCTGTGCTTGGAATGGTAGAATGTTCTGTGCAGCTGGAACATTTATTCGGGTATTTGAGTTGTTTTCTTTCTACGGAAACTATACAACATGTTTTGTTATACTCATGAATATACAAGGATGATGATTACATTGTACTTTACGATGACAATTAAGATTACCTATTTACCTGCACTTCTGAGCAATGTATAGAATGTTCATTCAAAGTTCTCTTGCTACTAAACAAATAGACATTTATGTGTGTGTTGCTAGCTGTCCCAAAAGCAAGATTGGTGTAAGTTGTCACTGCTAACAAATGGTTTAGTCAGTAAATCAGCATTAATAACCAATGAGAACAAGCCTATTTTCCTTCCTATTACATATTTATTTGTGAACATTCCCCACAAGTGTGTCTACTGCTTCATACATTTATTAAAATGTTATTCTACACACCTATTTTTCTAACCATCAAACCAGTTTTGGGGGAAGTGAATCATGTGACCAAATATATGCTTGTATTTTACATACTTGGTTCATCTAGGGAGTATCAAAACTTGAACTGAATCAGAGATGATAAAGTGGCCCACTTGCTGAGTAACGGACTTTCGCTGAAATGCTTTGTGCATTCCTGGTACTTTATCAAAAGAATGAACTCAAAGCACTGGCCTTTCTTGCAGGGTGTCTGTTGGATTTTCTAGGAGAAAGTTCAAGCACAGCATCAATTTAATCCGATTTCTCTTCAGTGGGAACTCCGGATTTTTATTGTTCTTTCCTTATTTTCCTCCTTTGGTGCTTGAATATTCACCCAATGATGACAATAACAACAGACCATATTTTCCAGCATCTGATGTGATCTTGGTAAGTTTTATACATAACATGTTAGGTTGAACCTGCTAGCAGTCCAGTCTGTGGCACTAAATGCAAAGTGTTAGGTTACTCAACTTGACAGACTCACCGATTTGCAGAAAGCTCTAAGATTACTGCTTTGCATTATTACATTTATGGGTATAATTCAATTTTCATTATTCTGTTAAACAACTGTAAAGCCTGCTAATGATTCTTAAAAACTATGGGAATGTTTTACATCTTAACTTCATTAGCTGCAATGGACATAAAACATTAAATGACAATAGAATTATGAATAATTTGGCAGGGCATGACCTTTTCTATGACATTATTCTAGCATGCCTCAACTTCAAGTAACTAGTATCAAGGCTGAGATCAGACTTCAGACAGATAACCAGTGCATCACAATGGCATGCTATTCACCAACAAGGTGTGATCACACTTCCAGAATGGCCACAATATGACACTATTAAAACTTGAATTCAGTGAGAAAATAATGAACAGAAAGAATACTGGATTTGTCGTTGAACTTTAAAAGTGGAGTGACATCAGTTAACGATGCTGCAGAATTCACATCCACAGGCAAAACAGATGAAAATGTGGCAGGAATGAATTAACTTCTTCATAGAAATGGACACATAAACACATGACTTCGCTAATGAAGTGAGAATCCCATCTGTGCCATTAAATGGAAGAAAAAAATTTCTGTCAGTGGTCTGATTAGGCATAATGATCTGTGCTGTGATCTGTACAAACATGCTGCTGGAAGGCAGTGTCATCATACCTTTCTGTTATGTCTGGCAAATTCTGCAGCAGTTTGGTCAAGGTAAGGGTAAAAAAGGCAAAGCTATCCCTGCAACAGGCCATGGAGGCCTATAGGGTTGTGAGGCGTTGAGGCTCCACCACATTTTCTAGACAACTGGCTCACAGATGGTGAGGTTGTCATCCTTATGCATCGGCTGNGATTCCTGGTACACATTTCTGTTAAAGGATGAGTCAACCTCAGGGCCATAGTGTGGCTGGAAGGATTAGGTCAATTAAAAAATCCAATGATCTTGTCGGGACTCGAACCCGCGACCTTCCAGCTTGTAGCATAGTGCCTCAACTAACTACACTATCACATGCCCCAGTTTCGTCAAGCAGAAATTGAATTTTTACTTTTACTACATTTAAAATGGCCGCAAGTGCTACAAGTGTAAGAGAATTTAAATGTTTTATAACAGTGTTACAATCCCTTCATCCAAGGCACATTTGAGTCCTGTCCTGACCTGGATGTTAAAGATCCCTAGAATTCAGAAAGGACAAAGAATCTGTGATAAATGTATGAAAACTATTGCGGATTTTCTTGAAAGTTTTGGAAATGTAGCAGTTATCTCTTCAAGATCAGAATATGATGTAAATGAAGACTTTTAAAAGTTTTGAGACCATGAGGTAATTAGAAGAGTCACCACTTCCCACTAAGTTATTGTCACAAATAAAGAAAAATCAAAGAGAAAATGCTCAATTTAACAGACTCCAGCAGCAGTGACAATTCAGGTAAAGGTGACATGATAGCACAACTAAAGGATCATATAAGAGGAAAACCACAAGCAATCCCTCACCAGGGGCGACCCGTGTACAGGCACTGCGGAACTGCAGCACCCCCAATTTCCACCTGATATTATCCATAACATTTATATAATGAGTCCTTTTTCCTTTAATTCTTTCTTTATACTTGTACAATACAATATACAATCATCCTTAAGCTTAATGTCAGTAACCAAATCTTTGTATGGAACTGTGAGTTTCACAGTTCTGGCGGCGAGGTGTTCGTTGACTGTGCGCATGCGCACATAGGAAGCTACATGCGAGGCTGCAAGGAAGAGGGAGCACTGCAGGAACAACAGTGCCGACCCTGGTGTGCTGGTGGAAGGTAGTTTTTTTTTAATCCGCATGTGTTGTGCTTAAAAACTATGAGTTAATTGTAGAATTAGATTATTATCATGCTTCCAGCTATTCTATTTGATTCATCTTTTTCGGTTCTTTTATTTAACAGAAAACTTTAACCATGGCCTTGCATCCCCGAGAAATAAGTTCTGTGACTGTAAGTGAACTTCAACAGCTTAAGTTTTCACAACTGTCTCTCCATGAGAAAGTTTCAGTTAAGAAAAAAGGTCGTTTAACACCCGATATTCTAATATCTCAGCCAGGCATAAGCAAGAACAAGAAATATATTCGTAGCTTTAATTCTGAATGGTACAAACGGAAAAGTTGGCTTTGCAGCTGTGAAGTAAAAAATGCACTGTTTTGCTTCCCGTGTTTGCTGTTTCGGGGTGATGTAACGTAGACAAAAGATGGTTTTAGAAATAGAAACAAAATGAAATAAAAAACTGAAAAGCATGAGAAGTCAAAGAATCACGTTGATAATGTAGTTTCACTGTCACTTTAGGAACCATAAGTATTAAGGAGAAACTTAGTGAGGCATACAGACTTTCAATCAATGAGCATAATATAAAGGTTAAAAAGAATGGATTTCATTTTTAAATGAATAGATTAAGCTTGAACTGTAACAATTTAGGTTAAAGTAAGTAAAAAATGTTTTTGTTCTTTTAGGATTTTATCAAGTTTCTGAATATTCTTTTTATACATGTTTGTTTCCTTTTATACAATTTTAAAACAAAGGCTACAAATTTTCTGGAGCAGCACACCCACTAATTTTAGCTACGAGCCGCCACTGTCCCTCACCAATCGTGGTGGCACTACTAAGGCTTCAGAGGATGTTGGAGGTTAGGAGAAACGATATAACTGCCAACATTCACCAAAGTACAGTTGTTCTCTTCATTTAACACGAAAAATATGTAAAGGCATTAAATGTAACAAAATTGGAAGCTTGAAACACACCATTTTTCTCTTACTGCCACGGGCCACAAAGTACTATTAAATAATTGGATATGAGCACAACCTGTTAAAAACTATCAAATAACTCCGCTGCTGGAAACTGTCGACTAATTCGATTATTAGATAAAAAAATCAATGTGATTACGAACGTTCCTCTTCACACCTGCAACTGTCACCCCATTGAACCTAACTTTACACGAGGCCTACCGAGCTCTACTCTTATTGCTCTTATTCGCTCTTATTACTAGCACTGCACATCGGATGCGTCCGTTATAGTTCGGACGCTTTCGGTTCCGCGGTGACAGTTGGAGGCAAAGTTGAATTTTCGTTAGTAACGGCTGTTCACCAATCTCTGGCTATCTATCTGCACAATTGAATGGATAAATTAATTATGGTACACTGTCCAATGTACGCTTTGGAAAACAATCAGATGCGATCAGATGAAATAAAACTGTATGCTGTGTGGCTTCGGCTTTCAGGACTAAGCTGGGGTGAAGAACTCTCTCACGATTTAAGTTGCGGGGGCAGTGCTAGAAGGGCAATTTCTCGTCGTCATTATGTTTGGTGTGGTACTAATTAGCTAATCCTCCACTGGTCTCCATCCCAAGCGAGATGAATCCAGTCCATACCACTCCATCATATCAATCTCAGATCCATTTTAATATTATCCCCCCACCTACATCTTGGTTTCCTAGCGGCCTTTTTCCCTTCTGGGTTTCCCACAAAAATCCTATACACATTCCTTTTCTCCCCATGCGGCGAGAAAAGTGGTCGATGGCAACGACAAATTCCTGCAAGGATTCCCCGACGAGTTGGGTCCTTCTTTTCACTTGAGAGTGGAACACTGCTTCCCAGTGGTGGTCACCGTAGCGATTCTCATTGCCTCATAGTAACCTCTTCGTACGACGCTCCAGTAGGAACGCTGTGTAGGATGTGGGTAGTAGGCTCTTTCAAGGTGGCCATCAGGTACGTGTATTTCTCGCATAGCGTCCAATAGTTGTGCTCCGCCATGGTCTCCAGCTGCCGTTGGTAAACGGCCCATAATGTCGATCCATCGAACCTGCGTGGCTGCGCCGCGCCAATGTCGGTTCATGTTCTCCCGCGAGATTTGTGCTTAGATCGGTCTCCGACTTCTGCTACCACAGTCTGTACGAGGGTCTTCGTTGTACTCGTATGTCGATTTGGGTGCCTAGGGTCCTGGGCTCGAACCCTTCGCGAAGCTCCATCTTTGCGTATGCGATCTCCTAGCGGAAGGTCCGGGTCGGCGTATCGAAGGACGTCTGTAAGCACAAGCTCCTCGCGGAGGCCCTGTGTCCGTTGATCATAGGATGCCAGGTCATCCTCCACCTGCTGTTAGATGGTCTCTTCTAGCTCGGACTGGATAAAGCTTATCGTAGCCTTTATTTCTTCTTGACCGATCTTTAGCACCATTTCCATTTTTTCTTGGATGACCCTCATCTCTGTTTGGCCGGCCTTAGTTTCGGCTCTTGTTTGTTCCTGGTCAGTTTCATCTCTTCTCGAATGATCCCCATATTCTTTTCTATGATGGCTACTGGATCTTCAAAATCTGCCATGATTACCCATCATGTGGGTTCCAAGCCAACACTGCACAATTCACTAAGTTCAACAATTTAATTCAATCCAATCCAATCCCACTTCTAACACCACTGTCATGTGTTAGTGACCAGATGCAATGTTCGGATTGATAACTGGGTTTAATGAACACTTATAACTCGTAACTACTAATTACAACACACTTCATACTCTACACATTTTACAAATCACTGTAACACACAATAAGTCTTCTCAATCTTCACTGGTCATTGCCATATAGTGGCTCTTGTGGTTCAGCCTCAGATTCTTGCCAACTGACAACTGCCTCACAAGTCACTACAGTCTGAACTGACCAGCAGTCTACCTGGTAAATTGTTACTGGTCCTCACAAACACAGTCATCATTGGTTCCAAGTTCTGAAGGACTCATGACCACATTTTACTGTCTTACGACTCTGGGAGTTGTGCAACTACTGACTACAGCATCAGCTGACAGACAAATTTCTGTTGGTCTTTGCCAGCACAGTCATTCTTGGTTCCAAGTCCCACAGGGCTAATGACTATCTTTCACTGTCTCATTTCTTAAGCTCTTACACCTTGCAAAATGTCCTAAAAATACTGTCTCCAATTATTGACTTTTGAACCATTAAACATGGACTGAGAGCTGGCAGATGTGATGTAACTCTGTTGGGTAATAGAAGAGCTCTATGTGTGGAGACATCTCTGCATAAACAGTGAGCTTCAGAGTCATTCATCACGATAACCTGTACACTTGATGAAGGCTGGTTAGGCCGAAACATATAGTGACAATAAAGAGAAGGTGATGAGAGAATATTAACTGATGTTGCACACAGATGGCAAGAAGTGGAACGCAGTCAGATCTGCACATTGCAACAGGAAACTGCAATTGTATGACCAATAAACTCAGTTATGCACAGTGAAATGTGAGCAAGGTGTTTGATATATTGTTGTGTTTGACAGGAAAAACAAAATTCATATATGTACTATAGTACTAACACACAACAGATGCATGCCTTAAAGAAAGAATGTCAAATAAATTCTCTAATATATTATTTATATTTAATATAAGGGCAGACATCTAGTTACTGGCCATTTAAGTGAAATACCACGTTTGACGTGCAATAAAATCACACACTCTACTAAAATTACAGCATATTTTTTCTCAAAAGAAGCTCATACGGTCCAATGAGTATCACATAAAATTTCTCTGAGCTTCCATGGGAAGTAAAATGTGTAATTACATACACTTGTGCATCATCAGATTACTTCCTAATGTCAGCTCTGAAACAGAAATTTATCGAAATGACTGGTTCACAAGTCCTTTCTACTATCCATGATTTATTTAAACCGTCTTGCAGTGCATACACTCATTTATCTCCTTCTCTCCCTCGCACTACATGTTTCGGCATAATAATGCCATCTTCAGGTGCTTACTTATCCACGCCAAACTAGTTCATTGCATGCCTTGTTCTCATATTAAAATAACTAAAATATGTATCTATCATATACATTGTCAAACGTTAAAAATATTAAAATTGTTCAGGATACCACATCGCTACGTCGCACCTCACTACGCCAGTCACGCCCATTCTCCTCTGTTGGAGCACTCCTTCACTATCTTGTCTTG